CTCCATGTTTGAACAAATCAAATATGGAAGGAGTGGAAGAGAGCTCGTCAGTGAAGATTCTAGTTGCAAATTTGAATCGCATATGATCTATAACGGCAAACTTTGAACGCATTCAATGATGCTTAGTTTGCAGGTACAGTCATCTCTTGTACTCATTGTTAAATTCATGAATTTGCTATTATGTGAATTTTTGGTTCAAAACCCCAAATTTTTGGCCTTTTCAATGCTCATTGCTGTTTTTTTTAAATTTTTTTTTGCCTTTTTTGCCCCTACCAGTGAACAAGAAGAGGAGTGAAAATGACTTTGGGTTCTTTTTTCACCAAGGACAAAAAAGGAAAAATTTGAAAAACCGAAATGGTTTTTAATCGTTTTTTTTGTCTTTGTGGTCTAAAATTTTTGTTTTACAGCACAATAGCCGGCTAACCTTGATGTTCCGTTTTTCACAAAGTCGATACAGATATGTGCTCAGAGTGTTTTTGATTCAGACCAATTTTCAGAGGAGTTTTTACTCTCGTGGGCTCATTACCTGTACATTCGTGGGCCCTGCCAAATTCGCACACCATTATTTTTAGCTGACACGAGTGCTCGTTTTATAATTGACACGAGTGCTCGTTTTATAATTGACACGAGTGCTTGTTTTACTCGCTAGAGTGCTGTTTTAAATTTTAATGATGAAAATTTAACGCGCATTATTTACCCGTGGTAAAATATCCCACACTAAAAGTCGTCCCAATTTGAATTGAGGCAAGCTAAATGGTCTGATTAATTACGTACATGAATACTTCGCGATTGGTGGAAAGCGTCTGTATCGTATTAATTTGAAATGATGATGATTCAGTTACTATAAATTGCGGGTAAAGGAAATGAAAAAATTATGGGAAAATTAACATGTGTTTTTAATTGAGTTTAAATGTGAACACGTTATCTTGCAATTTAAACCATGCTGTGTTTGCTTCAACATTGCCGCCCCCGTTGATCTCTGATCAATCAGTTTAGTTTTTGTTTTATCTTTAATCGTCTTTCATCGGCAATTTCCGTAATCTTAAAATCGGTCGTGTACTAAGCGTCTCATTCCCTGTTTTAATTGCATTACCCTCACTGGACTGTCGTTTCCGGCATATCCACGATTGCAAGTGACCATGATAAAGGGGGGTTATCATGATCAATTATGTATACTAGATCTCCTTTTTCAAGTTTTGTTTTTCTACACGGTTCTTATCTGAGATTCAGGATCGAGGTTCTCGAAGAGAAGGAAATTCCACTAATCGTTTTCTACTGATCTTCCGAGTGCCTTGATCGATTGCAAAGTCTCATTGAAGACTGAGTGTAGCTGACGAAGCTGAGATACGTTCTCCGTTCGAACTGCAGTGAATCAATGAATCCTTGACAAGAGCATTATTTTAGTCTCTCGGCTCTAGCATTTGAAGCGCTACCTCGATGTTGCTATCTGTGGACTCCAGGTTCATGATGAGTTTCGAAGCATGGCTCGTCAAGCTACTCTTGACATACATCAATTTCTGAACCGGTAACAGCTTGTCATTGTCATGGACAGTTGATTGAAACTGATCGAGGAAGCTTAGCCAGGCAGTCAAATCGCCACTAAAGCTAGGCTTATTGATCTGCGGCAGTCTTGGTGTGATTCTTGTAGGTTCGATCTGCGTTGTTGCAAAAGGGTTGATAGGCTGACTTGAGACGGCTATCAATCTCTTTGCGGCTTGTAGAGTTTGGCGAGCAACCTTCTGTGTTTGCTGACATTGATCAAATACTTGATCGTGTGCTGCATCGTCAGTTATAGCGTCGATCAGTTCGTGATCAGCAGTTCAGCAAAGATCCAAACAATGCTCAAGCTTGGTTGTTTCATCACTCAACTCGTCTTCGTTACGATTGAGGGTACCACACAGGTCGCTGACTTGAGAAATGTGTCGTTTCAGAACTCGCAGACAACTTCTTTGAGCTCGTTCAAGCTTCTAAACAGCTGATGGAGTTTGAATTCCTATATTAGGCTCAGCCAAAGTGCTTAGTTTCCGTAATTTTTTGAGGTGGACTAAAAAGCATACTTCGCGATTGCTGGAAAGCGTCTTTATCGTATGAAATTGAATTAAGATGTTTTAGTTAATACAAATTAAGAGTAAATGAAATGAATAATCAATTATGGGAGTTTAAACATGCGTTTTTAATTGAGTTAACTTGTGAACAATTTATTTTATCATTTAAAACATGCTTTGTTTGCTCCAACGTTGACGCCCCCTTGATCTCTGATCAATCAATTTAATTTATTGTTTTATCTTTTATCGGCAATTTGCGTAATTTTAAAATCGGTGGTGTACTAAGCTTCCCATTCCTTATTGTATCTTGCACTACCTTCACTAGATTATTGTTTACGACATATACATTTTTCATCAGTTGTGTATGCTAGATTGTCTTCAAGTTTTGTTTTTCTACACGGTTCTTGCGTAGTTGCATAGCGGTTAGATACTGAAAAATCGATTTCTTCCAAAATTCAGCAATCAGTTTGTGCATTTTGTTGAAGTGTTTTCTCGGGCGTTTTTCATCTTCATTAAGCTTATCAATGATAAGATCAGCAACAATGGGCAATTGACTTGACTTGAAATTGTTGTTATGCAGCATTAATGAAGTGAGTGGCACAGTATCTTTGGCATCATCGGAGATCGCTGTGATCGGTCTTGAGTTGAGTATAGCTTCTATTTGACAAGGCACTTTGTATATCTCGTCAAGTTTAAGTTTTCCTCCATTGCCTACTGTCTTGTGATAAAGTAATTTCATTGATTACCAGCTGCTTCCCATAGCCCTCCGAAGCTTAGAGCGCTTGCAGGTATAGTAGTCCAATTGATACCTTATTCTCCAGCATGATTAGGGAGGGTGTGTATCTTGTGTCTATCCTGTAGAAGTCTCTTCATTTGAATAATTTCGTTGAGTGATCCGATGATGTTGGTTCCATTATCGGAGAAGATCTGCTTGGGGCATCCTCGTTGAGCAATGAACCTTCTGATAACCTTCAAGCATTCTTCAGTATCCAAGGCTTTTGAAACATCCACGTGAAGTAAAGTGCGTTAGAAGTAAAGCAAATGAAAACTACTATGTAACACTTGAGAAGTTGATCGGCTTCCCTATAGTACATTGGTCCGGCTTAGTCGATACCGACATAGGAGAATGGTGATTTCATTGTTGACTCTCTCATTAGGGTTATCTCACATCAACTGATTCAATGCTCTACTATAGAACTTGAAGCAAGTGATGCAGTTGCCTATCCTTGCTCGCGCCATCTTCTTGACTCCTATCCGCCATAAATGCTGCCGAGTTTGAGCAACAGTGGCATTTAGTCCACAGTGTGATTGAACAATGTGACTCTGGCGGATCACAGTTCTCGAAAAATGAGTGTTCGGAGGCAAAATCATCTGAAGTTTTGCTTTCTCGTTCTGGCAATCAGCAGCTGCGAATCATCCACCAACTTTTAGCAATCCATCATCGTCTATGAATAGATATAGTTGAAGGAGGTTGGAGGTCCCGCTTATATCTTGTCCGTTTCTGATTGCTTTCATTTCTTCGTCAAAATGCTGCTCCTGAACGTCTTGTACAAGAAGGTTTAGTCCTAACTTTCGAAGCTGATTAAGATCGTCTGTGTTCTTCTTCAGAAGTTTCAGGGCGAACTTTGCGACTAAAGCTCCAATTTGTAGCGCTTTACCAAAAAAATCCTCATCGTTCCAAATCGAAGAACTTTCCACTATTTTTGTCTGTCCGACGTTTAGTCCTGGTTGAACAAAGTATCTTGCCATTTAAAACATGCTTTGTTTGCTCCAACAGTACAGGACTCAAATTTTAACAGTTAACATTTGATATTAAACGACTAAAACTCACAGTTTGTGAAGAATTCATTACAAAATACTATTCGAAGACTAGTTGATGAGCAGTCTTGTTTCATGTGTGGCTGATTTTAGCAATCAATTGCCACTTGCACCCTAAGGTATGCGAAGCACAATTCATTCAACTTCTCTATTTAAATATTTTTTTAATGTCGGCATCTTTAAAACTTGAAACCATAATTGATAATGGATAAAAACTTACTGTTTTCGGAGTATTTTTTCGTTTTGGTTGATCAATGAGCAACAACTTTGTCGCTGATTCAATTTTTTCAAATCTTTTGTGCGCATAAAATTTTCGTATGTCTTAAAGAGAACTATATAATCGTTTTGTGAAAAAAGTTTTGTCATACAATTTGCTTCGGTTTTTGCTTCTAGTTTTAGTTTGAAAGGGTTCTGCATAAGTTATACTGTTTTCCGCTGGCTTTTGTCAGAACATTTGACTGAACCTGATTATCAAATCTACACAAAGCAAAAGTAATTCCTTCCAATTAGTGTCGGTCTATAATTTAGCTTGTTTTGTTTAATTTAATTTGCCATTAGTTCAGATTGAAAACACTTTAATGTCATTATTAAGTAAAACAGAAAGTTTTGACTGCATTTATCAGATAAAAAAACAGCAACACCTGTGCCGAACCCAAAAAAAAATCTTATTGTTTTAGTGGGTCAGATTACATTTTAAAATAACTTAAGGTTTTTTCGGTCACCTCGAGCATTAAATTGTAAATAGCTAAAATCAAGACAAAAGCCAAAAAATTGGAAATTTCAAACAGCTTGCTGTGGACTGAGAAATGTTTCCAAAATTTTATTATGATTGATTGAATTGCGAGTAGGTTGTAGCACTCGAGGTAATTTTAAGTTTGTTTGTTGCGTCGGCAAATTGACGATTTTTGGCACTGCTGAACACTTTTTCACCCTTTTTTGTTACTGCTGCACTTCAGCAGAGTTGTACTGCCTCGATTGGTGGTGATATTTTGCAGGCGATCGGCAACACTTTTCTTTCTAAGCATTCAAAAAAGCCAAACGAATGAGTTTGTTTGCGTTGAGTTATTTCTCAAAAAGAGTTTCTGTTTTAAACACTGAAAACATAAAAACACGTTGACAGGTTTTGATGACGTTTAGATTGGAGAGAGCCCTGATTATATTCACACAGAAGGCACTGTCACTTTTTTCCCGAAAGAGACCATCAAGTGGGTCTATGTGGAAATATGCGATGACGCGGAATACGAAGAAGACGAGGACTTCTACATCGAGCTGTGGGATCTAGAGGAGATCCCTTGCAAGGATCCCAGATACAAGTCCCCCATTCTCAAGGACAAACGCATCCAGTGCACCATTCTCGATGACGATCATTTCGGAATGTTTGAGTTCATAGCACCCGAAGTTGAAGTATCCGAAAACTCAGGCATCGCGACTCTGAAGATATTAAGACTAAAGGGATGTCAAGGTCACATCAGGTTGACCTTTGACGTCGATCAAGGCTCGGCTGTCTCGGATCGGGACTTCGTAGCTCCTCGATATCGGGAGATTTATTTTCGAGACAAACAGTTGGAAAGTGAGATGGAAATTCAGATCCTGAATAATCTGGAACTGCAGAAAGATGTGACCAAGTCATTCGTGGTTCGACTCACAGCTCTGCGTTTGCTTTCTTCAGATGAGAACCTAACAGAGGAGTCTAAGCCTGAGATTGGACAGTGCAACCAGTGTCAAATTAGCATCACGTCAGCAGGTCAGAAACAGTTTTTCTAAATAGCTATGACAGGATTGGGTTTTCAAAACGAAATACCGCATAATTTGTTAAACTCTTGGTACGCATGGTACCATAAATAAACATCAGGTTAAGTCGAGTGGGGGATCTGATAATATCCCTTTCAGTCGTGGTTCCAGCTGCAAAATTTTTGCAACAAATCTTCTGGTGTCGAGAAAAAGCAATTTTAAACTGAGGCTTTCTTAGACTATTTCATAGCGCAGAATGAGGGGTGAATAAAGACACTTCTGGAAGATTAGCTCTTTTGCAAAAACAACTCCCCCCCCCTACGTCGCGTGAACATCAGTTTTTTGGTGTAATAAGGTTTTTGGTTTTGCAAGGTTGAGTATCAAGACAAAATATGTCTATCGTTGCCGAGTTAGTCCACCTGCTGGTTTTCAAAACAATCGGGCAATGTGAGGAAACATTTTACTTCGCAGGTTGGGGGAAAAGGACTAAAAGCCCATTGAACAACAATCTCAACCGATACGGAAGCCACATTCAGCGTTTGCGTCCCGTCCCATTCACCAGAGAAAAACGACAAAATTTCAAAAATATTAAAAAACAAAGTTTAGTTTTTGTTGTTGTTCGGTTGAAAAATGACTTTGAATCGCCTTTGATTGAGTTGAATAACAAACATTAACATAAATGACATATATTGCATTCTAGCATTCTGCGTCAAATTACATTAATAGCATAAATGATATATGACTTGAATTGCAGGTCACGATGAGTCATCGATGGATCTGCTGCTGAGCAAGAGTGACGAGGGTCCAAACGGCAGCTACATGGTCCAGTTCAAAAACATATGCAAAATACATAGTGACGACAATCCAGGTAGACCCCTGAATTTTTGCAGAACTCACTCCTGGTTACACTTATCAAACTAATTCGGTCAATTAATACTAGCAAGCCCAGTTCCAATAACCAATCGGCTCGCAAAAAAAAGAAGTTGTTCTGATCAAATTGTTCAAGCATTGAAACTTCGTACAATTTCAAGTTAAGACGTTTCAGAAATCGGTTTGAAAAAAATTTAAATTCATGGAACGAATCAGTTCGCTAAAAAGTTTTTCTAAGCAAGCTATTCATGCTATGAACATTTAAAATAGTTCAAGCTTTTTCATAAAACGAATCGGATTGTGAGACGGTTAATCTATTTTGCAAGGAGTTCCAGCTGTAAACCTTCGAAATTTTTCAAGTTCTTTCATGAAGCAGTTCGGATGGTGAAATTTACATTTTTTTACATTAAAATTTTTCAAGCAATGAAACTTTGATTTACGTCAGGCTGCTTCTTAGACTAAATCAGTTTGGGAATCAATTTCCGAAAAAAAAAGTTTTTCTTAGCAAGCTATTGATGCAGGGAAACTTTGAAAATTTTCAGTTTGTTTCAGAGAGAAAATCAGTTGGCGAAAAACTTACTTATGCAAGCTTTTAAGCGCAATAATTTGAAACATTTCATTTTTTTTCATAGAAAGAATGAATCAGCAAAACGTTGCTTTGCAAGGTATTCAAGATGTGAAGCTTTAGAATTTGTCTTGTCATTTCTTGCAGGGAATCTGATAGCGAAAATTTCAAGAAGCGAACTGGTATGCAAGCCATTAGAATAAAATTTTTTATGGAGCTAATCAATCCGCGAAATAGATTTGTTTCTTAAGCAAGCTATTTAAATTAGGAAACTAAAAAATTACCAGGTTCGGTTTTCGGAAAATTCAAGTTTTTTGAGCAAGTTATTGAGCAAGTTGTTAAGCAAGTTATTTAAGCAAAGTATCTTCTAAGCAAGTTAATTTCAAGCTATCGAACGAAGCAAATGGGATGAACAAAAGTTCAAGTTCTTCCAAGAAAGCCATACGAGCGATCAAATTTTGAAATATTTCGAGCTTACTCCTAGATACAACTGACTCGAAAAAAAAATCAATTTTTACTATGCAAGCTAATAAGTGGAAAATTTTAAAACATTTCAATCTTTCAACTTGTTTCATAGAGACAAGTAATATCAAAAAATCACATTTAACTCAAGCAATTTAATCAAGCTATAAAATCTCCAGAAATTCAATTTATTTTATTAAAGAAATCGGACAGCGGAAAATTTAAGTTTTTCCATTGCAGCCATTGAACGGATAAAATTTTATCAGTTATTTCATTGAGGAAATCGTTATTTGGAAGTCGTTCGAGACATTCATATGTTTCAAGTTATTTCGCAGACCAAAACGTCGAAAAGACCATGTGTGCGTTTTAAGCAAAAAGTCCATATGTTTTTTAAGCAACCTATTCAACTTATATTACCAGCCGAATTGATTCGCGAAAGATTCAAGGTTTTCTAAGCACGATATGAACCCTGAACGAAGCAAATCGGGTGGTAAAAAATTTACATGTTTCTATTGAAGCTGTTCAGCGCTGAAAATGTGATGTGTCAAATTTTTCATAGACCGAATTGATTTGCGAAAAGTTCAAATCTTCTTAAGCAAGCTATTTAAGCTGTAAACTTTGAAACGCAATGAATCGGATGGCAAAATGTTGAATTTTGTTTTTGAAACGGTTCAAGCCTTGAAGCTTTGAAACATTTAAAGTTGAGTTTTAGACCGAACTGTTTCGCTAAAAGTTACATTTTTCCTAAGTAACCTGTTCAAGCAAGGAAACTTCAAAACAATTCAGGTTGTTTTAAAGGGCGAATCAAATCACGATAAAAGTTAGATTTTCTGAGCAAGTTACTGACACAAACCGGATGGCCAAATGCTCAAGTGTTTAAAAGAAAAGAAATTCAGCTTTGGGAACTTTGATATGTTTTAAAATAAATTATGAAGCAAATCGGTTCAAAATAACTTTGAGTTTTCCTTAAGTAAGCTATTCAAGCTTATAAACTTCAAAATATTTTGATACCGAATGGGTTCGCGAAAAATTCAAATCTTTAAAAGTAAGCTATTCAAGCTATGAAATTCTGAAACGAAGTAAATCAGATTGCCAAAACCTCAAGTTTCTCTATAAGAGTCATTCAAGCAATCATTTTAATTATTACAAAAAAGGAACTAATTCGCAAAAAAGAACAGTCAATGCAAATTTTTAAGTGAAAACCATTAAAACATTTTAACTAATTTCACAAAGCGAACCAGTTCTCGAAAAACCAAGTTTTCTTGAGCAAGCTATTCAATATGAAACTTTGCTATATATCAAGATAAATCATGACTTGTTTCGGTTCGCAAAAGCTTAAATGTTTCTAGGAAAACGCTTTCAGCTATGAAAGTATGATAAACTTCAAAAAATTCTTTAGCAAGCTATTCAATCTACTAAATTTTCAAATATTTCAAGTTATTTCATTGACTGAATCCCTTCGGAAAAAGTTATTTCGTAGGAAGCTATTCATGCTATGAAGTTTCAAGTTTTTTTACAATTATTTCATAGACTGAATGGGTTTGCGAAATTTTCAAAGTAAGTTATTCCCGCAATAATTTTGAAACTATTCAAGTTATGGCATAACGCGAATTAGTTTAGCAAAAGTAATTATTTCTAATTGCTGCTTACTATTTTGCTGTTGCTAATTTACTAAGGCTGCTGTTTTTAAATGATTGTTTTCAAACTGATGCAATTTTATAATCGGAAAGTGATGGACAAATAGTGGGCAGGTAATGTCTATCCTTGAATTTGAATCGAGTTCATCTTGTTTAAAGAGTTTCGGGCTTTTTCAAAAAAAGTTCAAGATTATTCATGACTCTAGAATGTTTTAGAAAGTTCTTGCCTAACGCGACATTGACTTCGATAATTGCTCTGAAAGATTTTTAAAACTTCTGATCTGTGCTTTATATTATTCGAGCTCAGTATTCGAAAATTTGAAAGACAACAGATAAATCAGTCAGGTTTGGACAGTTGCGAAGCGGCAGTGAAGTGATTACTTCTCCGCCTCTCAATGGGAAGGTTGGGTGTTCGAGGCCCACCATGATCCGTGCTCGTTGCTTGAGGGTGAAGTAACCTTACCCAGCACGAAATATAACTGTAAAAATGCATGTAGACCTTAAGCAGGTGCACAACAGCGGTTCTCCGTTAAGAGCTCAACAGCTGGTATGTTGGTCTTTTTCCTCTTGTGGATAAACCGTCTTAACTTAATTTAATATATCAAATTAAAGGGTCTTGATTGGCTGAAAGTTTTCGCACGTTCGCACATGATAATAGCTCTCTCTCTCACATCATGCGAGCAATCGTTGCTTCAGTTTAATTCAGTCGCTAATTGTTTCATTTCAGAAGAACCCCTTTCTTGTTGGGACATATTCATCTTCATATTTCTCCTCCCCTTCAAGGTCCTGTTCGCCCTGGTGCCCCCTCCCGGCCTCTGGGGTGGGTTCCCCTGTTTCGTGGCGGCCATATGCGTCATCGGTGGAATGACCGCAATCATAGGTGAGACAAACTTTTCTACTCGCAGAATTATTTTGGCACTTCATCAAGAGCTCTTTTGATCTCAAGCAGTCTTTAATTCTCAGCTCCACAACCTTCCATCTCCTAGTTTTTTAAGAGTTAGATTGATTGCTTGGATTAGAATTGCTTTTTAAGGAGAGGAAATATTCTTACTAATTAGATTAAAATGAACAAAAAGTTTTTCAAGTCAAATTCCACAGATGCTGTGGGGGGTATGAAGAGTGCTTATTTTGGGTGACTTTTCTCTTTCATGCAAACTGTGCTTCGTGGTTCACTTTAGTTTATCGCTGACTGATATATGACTAGTTATTAGTTATTAATGTATCTTTCTAGGTGACCTGGCCTCGTTCTTCGGATGTACGGTGGGTTTGAAGGACTCGGTGACTGCAATCACCATTGTGGCTCTCGGCACTAGCCTGCCGGACACATTCGCCAGCAAAGTGGCCGCACAGAACGACAGATACGCCGACTCCTCCCTCGGTAGGTGTTTGTAGTTAATGCCAAATTGTTGGAAACATCTTTTCGGTCAACGAATTTGAACGAAAGTTGATTAAAATAAAACTGCTCATTTCGACGTCAGGTTTCAGTTTTCCCTCATTTACACACGTAAAAACTGTTTTCAAAAACTAAGTAACCTAAAATGCAAGAGATTTTGACCCAGTAAATTGCTCAAGGCCACCGATATTGCCAGCAATTTGGCATTGACTATAAAATCACAATCAAAGTGCAAGGTGATTTTTTTTAGTTAGCCCGGAGGCCTAGCCCGAAGGTTTAGTATTTACGTTGACAAGAGCGCATATAACCAACACCCTTAGTAAGCTATAACATACTTATAAGAGCTTACTTTGCGATCAATGATTGTCCATAAATCTTCCTAGTAACAGGATAATATAATATATAGCTCTTGTTTGTAAAAAGATTGTTTATTTTCATTCAATGGCCGTTTAATTAGTGTCATATTTTTATTCTAGAGCTAAAAAATGTCAAAAGTTTCTTCTGCTCCAGAAAATTAAGTGAAATGCAAGTAAGTTATATGAAGATGTAATGAGAATTATAAAATGAGAAATTAGGATCTTAATCTTGTCACCGATCTGTCATAGTAGTTCCTTTTGATTCATTCCCTAGATTAAAAAAGGTCTTAGTGCTATGACTTTTGTGCTGTTCCAGGAAACATAACGGGCAGCAACGCAGTCAACGTCTTTCTCGGAGTGGGTGTGGCCTGGTTCGTGGCAGCTGTCGTCAATCGAGCCAAATACGACCAGGACTTCGTGGTTCCCGAGGGCGACTTGGGAATCTCAGTTGCCGTGTTCCTCGCACTCGCTTGTGTCGGATTCGCCGTTCTGATTGGTCGCCGAGTGCTGTTCAAAGCCGAACTGGGAGGACCCGACATGCCGAAATACGTTTCGTGTGCAATGCTAGTATTCTTGTGGGTCACTTATATAACTGTCTCGACAATGAATGCGTATTGCCTTTTTTGAATTGCGTGATTGTATAAATTGATTATATATTTTTTAAAACAAAGAAAAATAAGAAAATCACTAGTCCTGTATTTGTTAGATTTTTCCGAGTTGATTGTTGTCATAGTTTCATAGCCAAGTTTCGTAAAATTGTTATCTCACTTAAATAAACAAACTTCGCCGGCTTTTGGAATTCATGACGATGTAGAATCTTATTATATCCAAATTTGAAGTATTTTCATTTTTAGATGCACAATTAAAACTTTTTGATCAGTATTTTCTATTTTGAATCTGGATTGACGGAAGTATGAAAAGTTAAGAAACAAAAAGAGACATGACATATTTGTTTGACAACTACACGCAAAACCAACAGAGTTAATCTGTTGCTGTGCAAGTAACACAGAATGTTCCGATCACAAAACTCCATTGAAAAATCCTCAAAAGACAAAAATTGAAGAAAAAGTTTTGGAATAATTTTAGCATAGCGAAAATAGGTTAAATTCAGCAACATGAACTAGCTATAGTTTGCTGAAATAGATCAAACAAGAATCAAATTTAGACGTGTTCTTATCACATGTCTCGAACAAGCCGAAAATTAGGATATCTTCCGAATCTTTCAATTTGCCTAGCGGAAAATAAATCTGAACAGCAAAAAATTAAAAACATTTTTTTTTCGACACAGAGACAACTATTCGCAAGCATAAAAACTAATGTTGGACTTCTACGATTGCCATATGGCAGGCTTTACATGGACCAGTACTAACAGGAGCAGAATGACTTGATGAGTATACCACTGTTCTGGCAGAAAAACCAAACTGAGAAAAACCACCGGTAGAATGGCCCAAGTGGTCAATCGGGTGAGACTTCAGACCTCAACTGTCTTCTACGGAACAGAACGGATTTTATAGACCCACCGGAGCTGATTCGAGACGAGCAAATCACCCGGTTGACAAAAAATGCTTATCAAACAATTCCATACTATGGAAAAATGCTTATCATACCATTCCATACAATTCCATAGAATAAAAAAAATCATATGAAAATCACATGATAACCATTATTTTACAGACGAATTTTGCATAAAACTCAGTTTCTGGTTGAGCAAAAGAAAGAAATAAAATGAGCCAAAAACTAAATCTTAGCCCAGCCCAACGTGCCAGTCCCTCAACAAAAGATAAAAACTACAGAAAACTTAAACGATTTGAAACTCTGTTTCTGTGTTTCCTGTAAGTTTCTTTCCTCGAATTCGAAACAGCAGAGAGTTATTTTTAGTGGGAATCAACACCAGCGGAAAGGTTGCCTCCTGCTAAAAAAATTACTGACAAAAAATTGAAGACACCATTCCGAAGTCCAAATCTGCAGATCCAAAGCACACTCCATGTCAGCTCCGAGAAAACATTACATAATTATCATCTAAAAACACACAAAGAATGTGGGAAAATGCACATGAATATAGAAAACACATATATCATAACTTCTATCCGTGCGACAAAAATCAAATTTTAAGATCACAATCGGAACCATGTATGAGAAGATGCATTCGAACGTAACCCAAGCGATGGCGCATAGAAACACAATGCTGCACTAATTTACAAGGCAAAACAGAGCAGTAATGTGTTTATCCGCGCCATTGGTTGGGTGACTTTCGAATGGATCTTAGATTCAGATTTACCCGAGAGACAGACAAAGCTTGGAGCGATGGAACGCATAGCAACAGGAAAGACAAAGGAGAAAGGAGAACGACGAAGCAAAATAAACAAAAAACGGAGAATTAGGTGGACCCATACCTAGGGGTGATGCAGGAACCAAAGAAAAACACTCTTTTTAATTTTACTTAGGAAACGAGGCACAAAAACAAGAAAACTATATCTGAAATCGATTTACAGGGAGCGAAAACCAGAAAAAATGATTTAGAGGATTCATTTGTTCTGGATCGGATCATTGCTTTCAAAAGCTTTCATCTGTCGGGTTTAAAAAAGATTAAAACTTGAAAGCAATACAATGCGATGACAGAGCTCGGAGCTGCCGTGGCCTTGTGGGTAAGGCACACATCTCTCAACATTAAGATCGTGTATATGAATATCACTTCGGTCACGGTTGGAGGCATCATAAGGTCATCTGCCTCCTGAAGATGGGAACGACAAACCTCGCCCCCACAGTTGGTCCAACCTTGAGTAGGACCGGAGGTTAAAAAGTTGCCACAACAGAGAGGTTGAATGGGTAAGAGACATGTTTACAGCCCACTTATTGAACGAAAAAATTCTCAGAAGAGCTACTTGCCAAAACCCGACCGCCATGAGAATACGCAACTAGAAAAAGGCATAAAATACATCAAGAGGATAAAGTAGCATAGTCATGGACACTGCTACTGACTCACAAATCATGACTCATCAAAACCATGAAAATTGCTCAGGGAGAAACAAAAAGGGTTCAATATGCGGTCGGAGAGGCCACTTCCAAAAAAACTGCAGATCCACTGGATTCAAATATTTGATTTTAAAAATGCAAACGTTGATCCACTGCAAGAAAACTATCAAAAAAATAACACGGTTGACCTTGTTTTCCTGTAAAATTCTCAACAACAAACGGATGAAGAACTACAATGCAACACAATGATACCATAGCAAGCGATCCAAGAACTATTTGAGGAAGAAACAGCAAATAAGAACTGTGGATCAAACATAGAGGGCCACCACATGGCGAAAAAAAAGACTGGTGTTAAGCGCACTTGCAATAGCCGATTTGTGTAGAATCAATGGCGTATCAGAAGAAGCAAGTGGCAAAAAAAATGAATAGGCGCAGTTTGGAAACATATCCCGAAAAAAAACTGCAAAAAAAAACTTTTATAACAAAAACTGCATTGAACCACTAGCAAGGGCAATCCTGCCAAAAGAGTCAGGTATTGTGCAGCAAAACCACAATATCTAATTTGTAAACGGCCGAAGATAAAATATACTGGAAAGAAACACACTACCAGAAATCGGATTCAAGCTTTAACAAAAAGCTTGCCGAAAAAAGAGCAGTACTGAACTTTCAGGATTTGATGCAGTCAGATTCACAAACATTTAATAAGATAAAAGACATAATTAGGCTGTGTGCAAAAAGTTGGTAAATTCTAAACCACGTGGTCGAAATAGATCAAATATTAGAAAAGAATGAATTTTTCAAAAAGATAAAACGACTCGGCAGAAGAAGATCGCACAAATACTTGCAGGATAAGATGGAACAGGATAAAAGCTACTTGAGGTACCAAAGTCAGCTAGAAAAATTTGAAAAAAATTTTAACAATTTTTTTTCAGTCCAATAGTCGTTAGAGTTAGGAAGAATGAAAATTTCAAACTGGAACTCAAGAAAAAATACATTAACAAAGACATTTGTAAGTGAAAATATCAGATATTATGTACCAAAATTAAGTTAATCATTACGCTTGCGATTAGCAAGCGTTATCAAACTGGAATATAGACTTTTTTTCTAGTTAACAACTAGTTTAACAAAATCAGTTGAATCACTTCATATGCTCAATGCTCTTCACCTGACATGCTCAATTTTATGAAAGTTCAAATTTAACTACTGGCTGAGTACTAGTTACAGGGTAGTTTTAGGGTGAACTTGAAACTTAAAAGTTTTTTACATAATAAACTTTTTCGGCTAACTGGTGTCTGCTCCCAGACTGTCGGCCTTATTTCCGCTCCGTAAGTTCTGTCCTGTTGCTACTTTCAAAAGTCTTGCTTTACATGTTTGCCTAGAATTCCCGTTTGATAAAAAATAGTAATTATGAAAGAGTTTTTATTTAATTTTTTGAGACGCTTTGGAAAATTTTAATACTTTTTGCAAAAATATATATATTTTTTTATCAAAAACCCTTCTACCGAATTTCAAAAAAAGGGGGTATACATAGAAAGACCTTTGGTATAGCCCGGCCAAAATTGATAAGTGAAGCAATAGGATGATCTACTGAAGCGTGTACCTCCGGAAGGCCAGCACATCTCGGACCCGGAGGCCCTGATTAGCGCAGAAGGTGACCGGCCAAGATCGTTACCTGCGAGCAGCGCACCAGCGACTAGCCGATTCGTGACGAGTCCTCTTTTTCCAGTCCAAATGGGAACTTGAGACGTGGATCCCGGAGAGAATCATTCCCAGACGTGAAACATTCCCCAGGACCACGCGGCGTTTAGTCGACAAGCAGCCGTGTCTACGTCCATGGTGTAAGCATCTCATCATCGAAGATAGTCCGCCGAGATTTCTGGGTGACTTCAGATTGATATAGAAGATTGGAGTGAGTTGCTTCACGGGAGTTTTGAAGCCATTTGTTAAGGATGCTGCTGTTGACGCGGTCCAGGACGCTATGTACTGTGACGCTGCTGATCGATTAAATTGACATGAGAAGGTCATGTCCATTGTATATGCTTAGGAGACGCTTAATCTGCTTCCTGATTAAACTTCTCTTGTTGTTTGAACCTTCAGCATTAACAATCTGTCTCCCTTATTGAGAAATTACAGAGCGGACAACGTCATGATGGAAAAAAAAGCAGAAGAATTAAATCGGATGATGTGGAATCTAAGAGACCCCTTACAAGATGGCATACCATTCAACACCCCCGAACGGTAGAGCCGAGCTTGTCCAGAATTTGGAGAACAGTTCACTGGATGCGGGCAAGTACTGGCAAGTACTGACTCGCTAAGATTAGAGTCGACTGCAGTTTCTAAGAAGCAAGAGATGCATCAATTGGTGGCAGGCCAACATATCTGAACTATAACTGCTTCGGGTTCTTGCCCTAGAGGATTTGGAAGGCGCTCCCGCGATAGATAACTGTTTCCAATGAATCTGCGATTGCAAGTTATGGAGGGCAGGAGATGTAAATCAGCTCTTGACAGTGAAAGAAACTCCTGGCGTATAGAAAACCCAAGCTAACAGTTCCTGGAGATAGCGCAGAACCTTGCCCAATCTCTATCGCTCGAACCCTGAAATCTTTCTCGACGGAAGCGCAATTTGCTAGATACAAGCTGGAAGATTTCAACTAAACAAGTACCTTGACTTTGGCCGACTTGAGTTATGAACACAAACCAGCAGTGCATTTCTGGACAAATATGGTCCTTCTTTGCTTGTTTAGTGCCACGCTGTCTCAAAATTATCAATCATTCCTGCTGATAGTGAAGAAGGCTGGATATGATCCACAGTAGTTAGCGATCTTTGCAGGGCTGAATGAACAGCTGTATAACTTAATCAGAGAAAAGAGGTGCTAATCGT